CAATATCAAGGACCCTCAGCCTTGTTGGACTCCGAAGGAGATCCCGAAGCATAGCCTTTTGCATCCAGCCTTGCTCGCCTGCCAAAAGACCCCTGCAAACTGGTCATGCCGATTGCATGAAGCCTCACCATGATGTCCCTGCTCAGGTCCAACCTCTTTCAGGCCCGCTCCTTTAGTCACAACCCATTGCTAACTTCCATGCCCTGAGCCAGGTCACAGCGCCATAGCCGGTGGAAGCCACAGGACCCGGATGTGCATCCGCTTCATGCCAGCGACCAGCCTTACTCAGTGTGCCTGTACACATCCAGAGCTCTTTTGATCACAGCCCCCATGGGAGCTTCAGCGCCTTCCAAAGCCATGGCATCCGACCACGATGCTTTCGCCAATTGGTTGAAGACCCTCGCCCTCGAGGAACTAGCCAAGCTCAAAGCCGCGCATTCTGCATCCGCACAGGCGGCAGCCGACACAGCCGTCCAGGATGACGCTCGGCCTTGCGATAGTTCTTCCAGCCTTTCCCCACGTAGCTTCCTTGTTTATCAAAACCAAAAACCCTTCTATCATGCCCAAGACGGGTGCTATACAGGCCCCATTCCAGCCTGCTTCGATTGCGTCTCCCGCCTAAGGACGTGGGAGACCTTGATGGTGCCGACCCTGCCCAGCCTTCTGATGCTGCCGACCCTGCCCAGCCTTCTCAGGATCACGAGGCCCAGCCTCCTCCTGCCGATGCCGAAGCCGAGGCAGTCTCGGAAGAGCCAATTCAAGCCGGAGGGGAGTACCTCCCCATGGAAGAGCCTTCGTCATCCACAGCCTTCCACGCCACTCCACAGGCAGGCCTGTTCTCGATGATGGGACAGCTCATCGACATGACAGCCGTGGTCACAGCAGCCATACACCAGCAGCCTTTTCCCTTGCTTTTCTTTGGCTTGGAGGCCCAGTCCAAGCCGATCAATCGCCATGAGCTCTGGCAGCTCATCAAGCGCCCCGACCTAGGCGTTGCCAGGGAAGCCGGATCCTCCGGCCAGCTTTTTCCCAAACTACCCCAATGCACCACCGAGCCAGCCGGACACTTCCCCCATGCCCCATGCCAAAGCCGATCCCCGGCCGATTAAAGCCGTGCCCTCTGGCGCCGTCCCGCCTCCCACCAAGACCCCGCCGGCATCGAAGCCTTCCCAGCCGCAGCCCTCGGAGAAGCCGCCGCAGCAGAAGCGCCCGCCCGAAGTCCCTCAGAACTGGAAGCCGCCAGCACAGCAAACATTCTTGCCCGATGCAGCCAAGGCAGACCCGCCGACCAAAGCCATGCCACAGGTGCAGCAATCCCCGCCGCCCAAACCGAAGGCCGCGGAGCCTGGAACTACACAGCCAGTTTCCACATCCCCCCCACAAGCTCCCCCCTCCACCCAGGCACAGCAGCACAAAGCCCTCCCCAGAAGGCCCCGCACTCAGCCTTCCATAGCCAAACGCGGGAAGGAATCTTTTTCGAACCCGAGTTCATGGCTTCCGACCACAAGCCGACCTACTCCGGAACGGAGCGGCCACCCCAGCCTTTTGGATTAGCCGTGATCTGGGACTCCCGTACATGGATCAACTTCTATGGCGGGGAGCCCCCAAAGACAGCCGTGGAGATCGACGTTGAGACCCACTTTTACACGGACCTACTCAGGATCAGCCTTCCCAGCCTGAGCCTGGCCAGGAGGAGGACTCCGAGTCCTCCGCAGCGCAAGAGGACCTCCCGCCTCTCCCGGAGTGGTATTCAGCGGATACTGGGGTCCTTCGCTACTGGCACTTCGGTGCCACGGGCCAAGCCAACCCCCGCCAAATGGGGAAGCAGTCGGTCCCGGCCCTTTGCCTTCAGGACCTGAAAGCCCTCCAGAGCCTTTGGTCGACAAGCGGAAGAATATCATCATCGACCCGCCCTCCAAGCCGTACCTCTACTCTACTTACCTTGCCGCACACCTTCGACCTGGACCCAGCCTTCGCCAGGATGTATTATATGGGCAGCCGTGGTGAGATGCGTTGCGGCCTTCCCTGCTCGACCGTGCCTTTCTGTCCTTACTTACCATTCAGCCTGCGGACGCGAAATCACCGAAGGGACCGTCGAGCATAGGGACAAGCACTCCGGCCATCAATGTTCGCGCTGCAAAGAATTTACAGACCTTGGTCGCAGCCCTTTCGAATGGTTTTCCGCCGTACCCCCGCAGGCCTCCTTGGGGTAGCCGTTTGCCTTCGCAGCCTTATACTGCCTTTTTCAGCCTTGTACACATTTCTATACCAGCTAGCCTTCAGCCACGTTCTATGCGCAGGCACACGGCATTTTTTGCGCCGCGCGACCGCCACCATCGGCCCCGAAAAAGAGTGCTCTGCATTCGAGGTCTCCGCCGATCGTCTTACATCGACTTTGCTGCGCTCTTTCAAGTCCCGACCTGCAGGACCAGCCTGGCCTTTCAGCGGCGACCTCAGCTTCTGCACGTGCTCTGCAACGTTTGCCTCTTTTGTGCATGCCTTCAGCCGATCATGGATCCAGACACAGAACAGGACGACCTTAGCAACCTAGAATCATGGAGTCCGGTCAACAGCCTGCACAGCGATGCTCAGCGGCAGGAAGGTCCCTACCGGCGCCATTGTGGGTGCTCTCGGGGTTTCTCCACCCGGACGAAGATCAGCCCACAGCCCACCAACCGGATCGCAGCAGGAGCCCCAGCCGGGAGAGCCGCGTGTCACCAACACAAGAACGGGCCACAGTGGTCCGACGCTTTCGCAAAGACTCTTCTGCCTTCGCTTCAACAGTGAACCCTATCCCGCCGACAAGTCTCCTACCCCTGCAGTCGGCGCCCAAGACACGGCCGGGCCTGCCCCCTCCAGCCTTGCCGCCGGCCGTGCGCCCGGCCCCGCCTTTCTCAGTCCACACCCTTATCAGACCTCGCTCCTTGCAGGTGCCTTTGCCCTCAATGCTGCACAGGCGCCCGCGGTTCCCGCCTGCTCTCAGCAAAGGGGGGCTCCACCAACCGCCGGGACCTCAACCCAGCTCCTTCTTGGACTCAGCCACCCGATCTGTCAGCCTTTAGTGCGGCCAGTCCCGAGAAGCCTTCGTTACTTGCCACCCCCACGCCCACGCCAGGACAGCAACAGTCTCTCGGTCCTAGATTCCACGTTCAGGATCTGCCCTCTCGCCCTGCATCAGCCCCGAACCCGATCCGTCACACTCGGTTGCCGGACATGATACAGCCACTGCACCCTGGCGGCAGGCCCACTCAGGTTACCAGGAAAGGCCAGGAGGCTTCTAGAAAAGCCATGGAAGGAGCTTCTCTGGCTCCTCGGAGACTCGACAGCCTTGTACCGCAGCCTTCAGGAAGCCAAGTATTCGCAGCAGCTTCTCGCCCAAAGCATCATGCCCTATACTGCCGGTACGCTCGAAACCTACTTGTCAGCCTGCAGACAGTTCATTGAATACCTGATCCTCAACAGCCTGGAAGTCAGCTCGGTCTCCGTAGCCTGCCTTGGCGACCTCCTTTGGGCATGCAACTCCAGCCTCGAAGAAGATAGAGAAGTATGCCGCACCGGACCCAAGCCAATGATCAAAGCCCTCTCATGGCTAGCCAAAACCGCCGGCCTAGCCCAGCTTGCGGCTGTGCTGTCAGACCGCCTTATCAGGACCTTCACGGCTCAGACCGACACGGACAGGCGAGAAGCCCTGCCTCTGCCACTTGCCGTGGTCGTCGCCTGGGAACGCCGCGTATGCCAGGAGGAGTGTCCCACAGAGCTTTGCCTTCTGCTAGGGGGATTCCTGCTTGCATTGCACGGGGGCTTGCGATTTGGGGATCTTCAGCGCATCAGCCTTAAGAGCCTATCCCTCACAGGACATAGCCTTAGAGCGGTTTGCTGGCATACGAAAACCACCAAGCGGGGTCAACCTTTTGCTGTTCGCCTCCATGGAATTTCCGGCCGGGACCCGACAGGCCTTTGGGTGCTACCTTTCCTCAGAGCCGTCCAGACAACATGGGAGCGTACCGAGCAGATCTACGGCACCTACAACTGCCCCGACTTCATTCTGCCCACCCTTCATAACCTAAGGGGTTTCCCAGGAAAGCCAGCGGCAGCCTACCACCAGCCTATGTCGTACAGCCAAGCGCTAGTGCCTTCGGTTCTTCATGTGCCGCAAACATCTTGAAGGCAACTCCCCGGAGCTGCTCACATGCGAAGAAGCCTCCGCCTTCACCATGCACAGCCTCAAAGTTTGTCTGCTCAGTGTTGGTGCACAAATCCAGGCCGCAGATAAAATACGCCAACAACAAGGCCATCACAAAAACCCTAGCGTACAGCTTTACGGGAGAGATGATACCCTCGGAGCTCTAGCCCTACAAACCGAAATCACCCAATCATGTGCCTCAGGTTGGAGGCCGTCGCGCCCAATTGCCAGGGGAGGACAGCACCCGACAGTGGAGCCGCCTTTTTCAGTCACCTCGTCACCGCCACCCAACGCCTTCCAGCTCTCAGCCCTCGGAAAGGGCCTAGACAGGTTCATCTACTCACGCGAAGCCGAATTGGAGCAGGTTAGCCCCGAAACCCAACCAGCCACCGCGGAAAGTGCCGATACTCAGCCGACACCGAGCACTGAGCCATCGGAGCAGAGGACACCCGGGCCCAGCAGCCTCCCTCCGACCATACCCGCAGACGAAATCGAGGCCCTGCTAGTGGAGAGTTTCGCGGCTTCACAAGCCGACTCATCCGACTCGGCGGAACAAGCCACCCTGCCGACAGTGGAAGACATAGTCATCTTCCAAAACGGACCATGGGGATCCGTGCACGCACAGCTGTTGGGAGCCGACAAAGCGGCATGCGGGACGCCCCGCTCCACGGCCGCCTTTTGCCCTACATGTCCCAACTTAAGGAAAACGCGGGAGCGTCGTTGTGCATTTGCCGGGTCAGCCTGATCCCTTGCCACGCCATTCCTACCGCAGCCGTATAGGCTTACCCCCTCAGTAGCAACTAGACTGCCAACGATTATGGCGCTCCTTGAGCAATCGGAGCTCACAGCATTCCTGCAGGCGCAGGGGGTGCACGAAGTAGTCTGCAACGGCCTCGCCCTCAAGGGGCTTGAGACAGTTGAGGACCTGGCATTTGCCTACCCAGACCTTACTAGCTTTGACACCTTTCTGCAGAACCTCTCGGAGTCGGACCTCAGCGACATGGGGGTCTCAGATGCACTACATTCGGTCCAGGCAGCACGAGCCAGGAAAGCCTTGCGCTCAGCGCACAAAGCACAGGAGGGACCTCAGCCCTCATCTGCCATACCATCCCTAGCAGCCCTGGCCCCCACGACCTCACCATCCTCATGGATGGAGCATTTGCCGCCTAAGCTCAGCTCGGAAGTCGTGCAGGATTTGGTCACGACCTTTAAAGCCAACTATCCCGGAGAGCTCCTGGACGATGACACCATGCCATCAATCCGCCTCCTTAGCCTGGTGCAACACAGCCTTCAAGAAGCTTAAATGGATCCCATGGCAGCTTCGCCTCAGCTCCAAACAGTATTCCGAAATTATGGAAGCCAAATCATCCAAGCCCATGCGGACCGAAGCACAGCTTCTGGCATCAGCCATATATGACGATACGCCGGAGATGGCTGTCTCCCACCTCCGCCTTTCTGTGTCTTGGTTACAGCGCACTGTGTGGAGCAGCCCACCTTAACAACCTCAAAGCCTTTGACAAGCGAGTCGAGCACTTAGCCTTGCCGGATCTAGCCGACTCCTCCCTCCGAGGCCCTACAATGCAGGAGCTCTTGACAGCCGATCGCAAGACCTGGAATACCATCTCAAGCCTTGCTGCATCTGGCTGGAGCCTTGATGAAGCCTTATATGAGGTCACTAGCATTCGAAGTGACCTCGCCAACTTGCTACAGCCAAGACCTCGGCCGCCGCCTACACTGCCAGGTCCCAACCGCCGTCCCAATGGGGGGAACCCGCCCCCACCGCCAAGCAAAAGAATCCGCCTTAACACGCCAACCACTGAAAAAGGTGGAAAGGGCAAAGGTCGCGGCAAAGGCCTTCAGAAGCCAGATAGCCCATCTAAGTCTGAGTCATGGCCCTCCAACTGGGTGTTGAAGGCCAAGGGCAAAGTGCTCTGCAAGCGTTACCAGAGGAATCTCTGCGCCTTACAAATTCGCCCACCTATGTGCGGTTTGGGGCTGCGGCAAGGAGCACTGCGCCATCGACCACGACAAGAAGCCTTCGTGACTAGGCCCGGTATCAGAGCCTCAGACGCAACAGCAGTTTCAGCCTCCTCCCAGCACGGTACCCGAAGCCTCACAGGTTTCAGCCTTGGAGCAGCCTCACCCAACCGGGAGCTCGCAGCAGCACCCGTCGCCATCATCCCAAGCCACAGGCCCACAGCCGCCGCCTCCGCCTCAGCCAAGCGTAACACGCAACCCTGGCGGGGGTCCGGCGGGAGGAAGGTTTGCCAACCGGGTCTGGACGGCTCGGAGCCAATTCAAAGGCAATAAGCCCCCTGTAATCCCCAGCCTTAAGACCTTAGCCGTTTGCCCATCCATCCCCATAGGCTCCACCTGCCTGCGGCATGCCCGCGACGCCAACGTCTGCGCCATTGACCTATCGCAAGAAGACAGCCAGGAACTGCCCGACCTTCTCCTTCAGGCGATTTGGTCACGGGTGGTTCTAGGCCTCATTGCAGACCTCAGCTCACTCGCCCCACACCTAGACGAAGCATGCGCTTTTTTGCAAGCCATCCGCTCCTCCGGAGCATCCGCCTTGCTATTTCTGCTGGCAGATCATTTCCTCTTCCAGGCGCCACCGTTCTGCGAAGACGACGGGGGGCTCTTTCTATGCCCGGAACCAGATTCAGAGAGGATTCTCATAGCCACAGCTCCCTTGCCCACGTGGCCTTGCGTCGACCCGGGTCTTGCAGCTCTGGAGGCAGCGGGAAGATTTGCTGCCATGCCACTCTCTACCACACCAGCTCAGCCTCCAACTCTAGCATCCGCCCTACAATGCCATGGAGAACTGGCACAAGACAGGGCCCCCATCTGTGCAGTGATGGCGCTGGCAACACCAGCTCCGCGGACTGGAGCCGACCTCAGCCGAGTCCTGCAGCCATGCAGGACATTATGCAAGCCTGGCTCAAATGGGCATCCCAACGCGACATGCCCAAACGAGTCTTTGCACACCTCGCACAAAGCAAGCCAGATCACCCCATCCCAGAAGAAGACCAACTTGAGCTCATTCGGATAGCCTGCGAGGTCATGGAATGGGACTACGACTCCATGACGCAAGCAGCCGAAGGACAGCCCTTTCGCCTCAATCTTATGCAAGCCTTTGCAGACCTCCTCAACGACCCAGACAAAGATCTCCCAGCCATGTTACGCGTGGGGGTGCACACAGGAGTCTTTGACCCCATTGAGCCCTCGGGGCTTTGGCCATTAGCCAAGATCCAGCCTCTGGCCTCATCAGGATTGGAGGTATGTGAGGGGAACTGGAAGCCAGCCGAGGCAGACCCGGATAGCAGACGAAGAAGCCGCAGGATGGATACAACCCGTGCCAGGCTGAGGAAGCCAAGCAGCTTTGGCCAAAGGGCATCGCCGTCGGCAAGCTCAGCCTGGTAAAGGCGGAGAACAGAGACCCTCGACTTGTTCTGGATAGCACGGTCTGCCAGGTCAACCCCATGTGCCGCATCCCCGAAGCGGTTTCAATGCCTACCGTCAACGATGTCCGGGCTACTTTTATGCCGTCAGACCCGCGAGGGTCATTCCTTGCAGCAAGTGTGGACTTCAAGGCAGCCCACAAGCGAGTCAAGGTTCACCGCTCTGAACAAGGCCTACTTCTCTTCATGTTCGAAAAGATCCTTTACAGATACGTGGTTTGCCATTTTGGGGCTAAGTTTTCAGCCTACTGGTGGCAGAGAGTCGGAGGCCTTATCACTCGCATTGCCCACCACGCACTAGCCTTCGCCCCGCACAAAGCCTGGCTTTATGTCGACGACCTGCTTTCAGCTTTACTCCGCGCCTTCGCGCCAGAACTCTTATTCCTCCTCATAGCCACACTGTCAAGCCTTGCCGCGCCAATTAGCTGGAAAAAGGCCTCAGTTGGGGACAGCCTGGTTTGGTGCGGTTTGCACTTTAATTTTCGCCTCGAAACTGTCGAGCTTTGCGAGGCCAAACGAGCTAAGCTTTGTGGTCAGCTCAAGGCCTTATTGGCTTGCAAAAAGGTCCTCAGGAAAGACCTCGAAGCCTGCATAGGCCTACTCATGTGGGCGACCGCCATCAGCAAGGTTCTGCGCGCCCACGTACCGCCTTTGTATAGTGTCCTCAACAGCCCTCCAGGAAGCAATTGCTCTATCTCTCCTCGGATGTGGCCAGCCTTTCTCCACAGCCTAGACTCCAGAGCCGTCATCTGCCGGCTCATACCAGGAGTCAACCTGCCGCTTAAGGCCCGGATCATCGAGGTCGGCAGTCGACCAGTGCACTGCAAGGCCGACCTCCCGCCACAGCCTAAGACCTCGGGACCTACTTGGGTCCGTATCTCGGACCCCGCCTGCCCTGAGATCAAGCTAACCAACACGGCCCAGGACAGCCTACGTTGGTTACTGCCACGCATTGAAGCCATACCGACAACAAGCCTCTCACTTCCGCCCCTTGTCGCGTGCCTAGCCAGAGCGGACGCCATGGCTGAAGGGGACAGAGTTGGCATCGGGGGATGGATCACCACCAAACACAGCATGGCCTGGTTTGCCGAAGCCTGGACCATGGACGAGGTGAGGAGCACATGGCCTTTTCTCACCAAGGATGCCCAGAAATACATTGCCTGCTTCGAGACGCTAGCTCAGCTTGCACTTGCCATGACAGCCCGAGAACGCCACGCCTTCTCGCAGTTTTCGGTCTGTTTGCCATCGCAGAGCGACAACACGCCATCAGAGGCGGGCATCAACAAGCTTTTCACAACCAGCTGGCCCCTCTCACAGTTCCTACAGCTGATAGCAAAGTGGTCATCCTGCCATGGCGTTGACCTACAAGTTTCTCACGTTGCAGGAGCACACAACCAATGGGCGGACGACCTCAGCCGAGGTCGGCTTCAAGCCTTCAGCCACAGACCTCAAGAACGAGTGCGGGTCAGCCTTTACCGACTTGCATCCGCGGCCTCCCAGGCCACCTGGTCAGGACCCCCAGACACAACAAGCCCTCTGTTGCCTAGACCAGAGTGACGGCTGCGCCGGGAGCGACTCCAGCCCGCCTCGCCGAAGTGAAAAAGAGGACCGCTGCCTTCCCGTCTGTTTGCTCTGCGACACTTTGCCTGCTCCTTGACCTTACTCTTTCTGCCGGCTCAGGTCCAACTCCACCGCCCGCGGTGGGGGATACTTGCCTGCTGCCTTACCGGTTGGATCTGTCCCTGAAGTGGGGGAGTTTATGCCTTGGCTAGCCCTCTAGACCTTGGCACCTCCGGGCTAGCCGCAGAGCCTTACAGATCCAACACGGTATAAAAGATGGCAGCAAGTGATAGAGCAGTGCAAGCCTTTCTAGAACGTTTCGTGTTTTTGTTCACGTATGTTTTAGAAGGCATGTGAATCTATAGCACATCGCAGCACTGGCTCTAGCACTTGAGTTTTCTCGAAAAGCCCCACCCGCCCACACCTAGGTTGGCTTTCGGCCCAGGCCTCAGCCCTCTGTCTGGCCTTTCTTGTTCAGCCGTCTAGCCTCCTGCTGCAGTCCCACTCAGCCCTGGCGACTCTCAGTCCAGCCTTTGTCCTACCTGGCCTTCGCGAGGCCACGTGCTCGCGTAAGTCGAGCGTGCTCCTCAGCCACGAAACGCCTGCCACAGGTCCTTTCGTCTAGCCTTAGTTTGGCCTCTTCTCCGCCTCTGCCTCAAGACAACTCTAGGTACTAGGCACCACACTTTTCGGTTACCCGCCCTAGACCCCTGCGCCCAGGTACGTTCCTCTTCCTGCTCGACGAGGCCTTCTGACGCATACGTGACGCCGTCTCTGTTGACCAAAGTCTCACGGAGCTCGACACTTGCCCGCCCCGGGCAAACCGGCTTGCCTTCAAGCCTAAAATGGCCGACGCTATCGTCTGTTCTAGCCCACAGCCTTTCTTGTCTCAGCCACTGAGATTCACCACTTGGCTCTCCAGGAGCCTTCGTAGTGGCCTTCTAGAAAGTTTCACTGACTTCTCACGAAGACTAGCCCTGGGGGAGTTTATGCCTTGGCTAGCCCTCTAGACCTTGGCACCTCCGGGCTAGCCGCAGAGCCTTACAGATCCAACACGGTATAAAAGATGGCAGCAAGTGATAGAGCAGTGCAAGCCTTTCTAGAACCTTGCACGGGTGAGGCCGTGGCGCTTCACAGCTTCTCAGGAGTCCGCTACCATATGAAGAACAGAGCGTGCGCCCGCGCAACACAGGCCTGTAATTCTGGGTTAGAAGACACGCAACAAAAAAGCATCCAAGACTTCGATCACACGATGGAACAAACAGCAAAAAGAAATTGAAGGAGAGAGGTGCAACCTCCGGTGCGACGGCGAAAAGTGCAGTTCGGACTGTTCTTTTGAGGGAGCGCAACAGCAACAGCCAATGCAACCAGAAGCAAGACAGAGGTCAGGAATGTTGCAAATGGGTCTCTGCTAAAAGAGCAAAAAAAAATCTGGCGAGAGCCAGGTGAGCCCATGTGGTGCATGAGGGGGTTTTGGAGTTAAGCACCGTGCACAAATTCCGAACCGTCAGCCACACCTCTTCGATACCATCACTCTGCGCAGCTCAAGAAGTCCTGTTCAGATCTGGTGGAGATACCTTCCAGAAAATTCCGCCGCTCTTGTATGATCTGTTCCGGCCGACCTTCTCGATACCATAACTCTGCATGGCTTGATCTGCTCTGTCCAGAAATGCTAGAGTCACCGCTGGAAAAATTTCCCTGTCTTTGTACAATCTCAAAGCTGCACAGTTGTGGGGCTGTCGGGCGACCCCATTTTAAGGCTTGCAAAACACAAGCAATTCTGGCTTCGCCAGGTCGGCCCTCCACAGTAGTAGGAGTAGTAGTAGTAGTAGTAGTAGTAGTAGTAGTAGTAGTAGTAGTAGTAGTAGTAGTAGTAGTAGTGGTAGTAGTAGTAGTAGCAGTAGTAGTAGTAGTAGTAGTAGTAGTAGTAGTAGTAGTAGTAGTAGTAGTAGTAGTGATAGTAGTAGTAATAGAGTAGAGTAGTAGTAGTAGTCGTCGTCGTCGTGGTAGTAGTAAGAGTAGTAGCAGTAGCAGTAGCCGTAGCAGTAGCAGTAGCAATAGCAGTAGCAGTAGTAGTAGTCAGCAGGAGCAGGAGCAGGAGCAGGAGCAGGAGCAGGCGCAGGCGCAGGCGCGGGCAGGGGGCAGGGGCAGGGGGCAGGGGGCAGGGGGCAGGGCCTAGGGAGGGGCAGGGAGGGGCAGCGAGGCACTTCGGCGAAATGGGCGCCCGAATGTATCGCCCTCGGAGGGTGCCAGCTTTGACATTGTTTCGGAGGAGAGGGGTGTGGTAATTGGCAGTAGTGCAGCAATGACCAGTAGTGCAATACTTGGCAGGAGTGCAGCGAGGACCAGTAGTGCAGTAATTGGCAGCAATGCAGCAATTGGCAGTAGTGCAGCAATTGGCAGTACTCTCGACGCAGGGTGCCCAGAGGGTCTGTCCCAATGAGTTCGGTGTACTCCTGTCGAGTCATGCGTTGACCCGTGTTCGGGTGCACCCATTCCTTAGCCTCAGGAATGACCGAATGATAGCCGAACGTCAAACGGCATACGGCGCCGTGGACGGCCCAGATCTGGCGTTTTGCTCCACCTTCCTTCGGTCGCACCGTTCGGTGCCTATAAAAGTGATGGATGAGAGCAATATCCGTGGTCGGATCTCCTTTGACGCCAAGATATACTGAGGGTGCTGGCGGCTCGTTAGCCGGCGAGTGGATCAGCATACCTCTGTATTCGAATTTTCGCATCACATTGATGCTGTACTCCGATGACAGGGCACCTGCCTCGGTTAGGAGGGTAATGTGTGCCGAATTGTTGAAGCACATATCAATCAGTGGATGATAATCAAATCCCTTCTCAGGTTTGAGCTTCTTCTTGGGATTTCCGGCTGGAACAGGAGGCCTGTCCATATTTCCCCAGTTACACACGATAACACCTAGAGATACTGAGTTGGGGTTTGATCCTTCGATGTGATCCTTCTGTTCACCTACGCCTCCCATCCGGTTTCGGACAATTTCATGGTGTGCATCCAGTACACCCTTGCCCTCATAGCCGGTCAGAGTAAGAAAAGATGCCGGATGGCATGTTCTTGAATCTCTGACACTGATGTGCTCCTTGTTGATTTTCTTATATTCCTCCAGGGTTGGAGCTTCGGTTGCACTTGTGTACGTCCTTGCAGGCGTGCTCCGGATGTCCAGAACTGTGGATGGATTTACGCCAGGATTGGCTTGCATGAACTTATCTCTTGCCATCGCACAATATCTGTTGATTTCGGTTGTGGCCTTTTCAGCATCTTCATCATTGAAGATTGCCTCGTACACAGCTCGGCGTTCATCAGGCTACATCCCAGCAGCCACCTGAGACTCCTGGAGGCAGTCGACCGGAAGGATACAATTGCACATCGACTGCTTACCCTGTTGGGTAAGTCTGCAGTCTGCACACACGATATTTCCGCATGAATAGCAAAAGTAACCTGTCTCGTTGTTGCATATGAGACAACGAGTAATATCCGGACGTTGCATCAATCTTATCTTCTGATTGAGACGCATGGTGGTTTTCCGGACGCCTATTGTTTTCTCCCTTTTGGGAGGTTGAGAGGAGGAGGAAGCTGCCTCCTTAGGCTGATCCCACTCCTCTTCGTCCGGGGCATCGGAGTCTTTGATCATGAGAGGCTTTTGCCTCTTTCGATTCCATCTGCAGACGTGGATTCTTTCTTTTACAGCTTCCTTCATGGCTGGATTAGCCCTTGAGTTGGCTACCACATGTTTGCGGTTTTCCTTGAGTCGAGCGTTGATACGCTCTCGTTCCTCAAGGAGGTCCTGGTCGTCTGCAGGCTCCTCGTATTCGAGGTTCAGTTTACTCCGATTGACTCTGAAGTAATTACCACTTTCAGGATCATAAAGAACCACGAACTTGTCCTTCTCCTTTTTAGGAGTTTTGGGTTTCGCAGGTTCTTCGTCTGAGCTCGGAATGAACTCAGCCTCGGATGAGTGCGTATTAAGATTGATTTGCCTCATTCCGTCGGCAAGTTCCTGAACAGGCTCCGAGGAAACAGCTTCTCTAGACGATGCTGGATTGACATCCACCCTTAATTCCGAAGAGGATGGTGATGAATTTGACTTTTCTGAACCAGATTGTTCGTCTGATTCATTGTCATCATCCTGGGTAGGATCTGGTTCCTCGGGCTCTGTCTCTCCGGAAGATGATTCTTCCTTAGGAGGAACTGCATTCTCCGCGGTGTCCTGGATAGGATCTGGAGGTTTGTGAGAAGTTGTTGTCGTAAGGACTTCTTCCGCGCTGGCAGAACCATCTGCGTTCCAGAGCTTGCCCATAAGGCTGTCTGGATTCTTGTCAGCTTCAGCTTTTCTCGCAAGTTTAGATCTTGGATGGACTTCTGCTGAAGCAGAAGCCTCTTCCATAGTGGTCTCCGTTTTCGGAGGTATTTCACCTGCAGAGAAAGGATGCTCCGTGTTCGGAGTTGCGTCACCTCCAGAGAGGGGAAGAGAGAAGAACTTCTGCTGAGAGGATCTCGCCTTAGGTGGTTCAGGCGGTTGTCTTCTTCCAGACTTCCCTGCCATTTTTAGCAACTGAGTCTCTAAATCCTTTCCATGGTTGTCACACCATGCCCTTGACCTGTGGGTCAATGAGGGCATTTCTTCGTTGCAATGGTCTGCCCACCAGGCGCGAACCCTTTTGAGTTCTTCATATTGTTCCGACACCCATAATTGTTCAGTGGGTGCAAATATGGCGCTGATGGTGTGGGCTTGGACCACGTCCGGGGTGGAGAACATCCCACCCTCGGAACGCCACAGGTTTGTGACTGCGTTCGCCACGTTTGTGGCATCAAAAACGAGAAGTAGAGGTGTGTTAGGCCTCAGTCCAATAGGATTTGGTTTGTCCAGTTTCAAGAGAGTAAACTGGACTGTGTCCCTGTTGGAACGTCCATTCTCGTTGACAAGAGCTTGGAAGCTCTCTGAAGTGACCACCTTCTTAAGAAGGGATGAAGGTACGAGACCATGCCTCAAGATTGGCAGGAGTGCCTCAAGGTCCGTGGCGTGCATGATATAGCAGCGATCGTCCTGTCGGACGTAATCCTTCATTCCTGTTCGCCTTGGGGCATTTGTGGAAGGGGCAGGGAAGGGCAGGGAGGGGCAGGGAGGGGCAGGGAGGGGCAGGGAGGGGCAGGGACAGGGAGGAGCAGGGGTAGGGGAGCGGAGGGGCAGAAGGCAGGGGGGGCAGGGGGCAGGGGGGGGGTAGTGGGCGGGCAAAGCCAGGGAGGGGGCAGGGAGCAGGGGGCAGGAGGCAAGGGGCAAGGGGGGAGGGGGCCAGGGGGCAGCAGAAACAGCAGCAGCACCGGGGCAGCAGCAGCAGCAGGGCAGCAACAGGGGCAGCAGCAGGGGGGGGCAGCAGCAGGGGCAGCAGCAGGGGCAGCAGCAGCAGCAGCAGCAGTAGCAGCAGCAGTAGCAGTAGCAGTAGCAGTAGCAGTAGCAGTAGCAGTTGCCCTGTCTGGATGAGCTGTGCCTTCCTTGTTCACTGTGGCGCACATGTCGATTCCTCTGATGCTCCTAGGGAATGCTGACTGCGAGGACATTGAAATTATCTCTTCCGCAGGTGAAGATGATTCTCCCACTGGACTCGTTGAGGAATCGGTCGGGTCATATTCCCGAGCTGTAGTGATGACCGGAGGGCTGCCAAACGAGCCACCTTTTGTTTACCATGGGATCTACTTTGCTGGAGCGCGGGGCTTGCTGCCGGTGGAGGTCGATCTGAAGCTGGAATTCCTTGAGCAAGGCATTTACCTGGTGCGAGGTGTGGAGGTCTCTCAGCTCCCGTATCCGTCGGATCATGCTGCTGAGATGCTTGCATTCTCTATGGTTTCGCATGGACAAGTTCGATGGGATCAGATGCTTCGGCTTGTCAAATTGCTGCCTTGTGATGCCAATCTTAGATGGGCGCAGTCAGAGTGCCACGCAGAGGCTCCTCATCGCTTCACGTCGGGCGCTTGGAATCGCGGGCCGATGACGGGATTGACTATCACAGCCCGGGGTTTTCCATGGGCGACTGCCGTATTGGCGAGTGTCGTCGCCACTTGGGATGAAGCTCTTAACTTCAGTACTTGTACGCTATCCCTCAACGTTTGTGCCAAGCCTCACAGGGACAGGTACAATCATGGCGAGTCCAGAAATCTTGCGATGCCGATGTCACGCTTCTTTGGAGGTGAGCTCTATGTGGAGGCAGAGGCGGGGAGGACTAGGCTCAGCGAGGATGGTCCTTGGGGTCACGTGCTGGAGCTTTCCTCGCCTGTGTCATTCACTCCGAAGGCGTTGCATGCCAGTATGCCGTGGCATGGTACCCGTTTGCTGTTGCTTGCATTTCATATTGGGCAAGTTCGCAATCTCTCCGAGCGGAGCCGAGCTGGCCTACAAAAGCTGGGCTTTCGGTTGGGATTTTTGGAGTGAGTCACGGCTATGGGCTCGAAAATGACGGCTGCTTGAAGGATGATCCTGTGGACTAATTCTTGTTGCTGACGCCTGCTTCGCTGAGGTGATTCTTTGCAGTGAGCCTGAACCTCATCGCACGCTGATGCGGGAATTGCGCTGCTCACATTTGCTGGCGGCTGGCAGTGATGAACTTCTGCACGCATGAGCCACTTGTGAGGGGCAGTGAGGCCTGATAGAGTTCTCCATTCTGTATATGCTGATAGCAATGTCTTTCCTTTTCCCACTTGACTTCCACTGTGATTCTAATCTTCTCCTGTTGCGCTGATGCTGCTGAGCTACGGCTCGGGCAAACCGCGTGCTTGGCCCTTCGGGGCGGCGCGGCAGCGCGTTATTGAACTCTCGAGGTTATCTGAGATAACGCTGCCTCGTGCAGCCAGACGAAGTCTGCTCGCCAGCACGCGAGGTGGACCCAGACGTTCATCGCGAGGGGAAGGAAAGGAAGAAGCAGTAGCAGTAGCAGTAGCAGTAGCAGTAGCAGTAGCAGTAGCAGTAGCAGTAGCAGTAGCAGTAGCAGTAGCAGTAGCAGTAGCAGCAGCAGTAGCAGTAGCAGTAGCAGTAGCAGTAGCAGTAGCAGTAGTAGTGAGAAAAAGGCGGTGGTGCTGGTGGTGGTGGTTTGTTTTTTGTTGTTGTAGAAAAGATGAATAAGTGTGATGGGCTGCTCTTTTTTTTCGAACACGAAATATTTTTTCAGACCGCACGCCTGGTCCATCTTGATTTCGACCCTGCATGTTTTTCCGAGCCACGCGACGAGGTCTAAAAAAAGATTACGATCTTTTTTCGACCTCCACTCTACGATTTAAGCCGTCTTTTTCTCGGCCCCGAAACATCTCGTAACTGACCCCGTGTCTTTGTTCGGACCCCGGTGGATTTTCTGCGCCTCTAATGTCTTTTTTCTGACCTCAACAATGATAGAAGCATGCACACATGACATATCAAACAACACAACAAAGAGCGCTACAATGTGAATTTTTGCAATGCAAACTGCACAAAACTAACTTAACCACACGATCTTCAAACCAGCATCTTCTCAAAAACACAAAAGAAGAAGCACGAAATCGCTTCAGGGGCTGAAAACGAACGAAAGAAATCAAACTGTGTCATCGACAATACTATCAAAACAAAAACGGTTTCCAACACGAAGAAGGGAGATGCCACACGATGTCGCTTTAGGGGGCAAAAGCAAAGAAAAGAATGGTAGCAGTAGTGGTGGTAGCAGCAGTGGGTAGTGGCAGAAGTTTCGTTGTCGCCAGCAGCAGTTGCAGTGGCAGCAACAGCAGTTGCAGCTGTGATGGAGGAAGATAAGTTGTTTTTGGTGGCAACAGTGCTTGTGGTTTTTTGGCTTGCAATGTTTGATGTGTGAAGCTTGCTCTGTGCGTGCAAGTTCTTGGCTGCGTTGCGTCATAAGCCATAACCACTCCAGAAGTCTTCTTTTGCATTTGTCGATCCTCGTTGGACTCGGAGCCTGCACTTGTCTCAGAGAATGCAAGTTCTTGCACGCATATGTGCAACAGTTGCATTCCGCTGGCTGCAGCACTTTTAAGAGCGACCTTCCAAACGGTCCTCCACCAGACGCTCCCCAAAGTCATTACAATCAATGACACGCGCAGCTGCGACCCCAAAAAATAGAGCCGTCTCGAATCCAAACGAAACGAGACACGAGTGTAGCTGCTGTGGATTTTGTGCCTTCCGATCGTAGTCCATGGAATGCCAGACAGTTGCTCAAAAGCCAAAAAGAAGGTCGAAGTCCAAAGACAATTTTCCAACCGAAAGAACTCAAGCACGATGAAGCGATCTGGTGCTAGAAACGCTGTCGGACGTGCTCGGCTGGTTTTAGGCGTGGGCGGGCCACAAAGACAGCAGTTGCTGCACTCGGTCCCAGCAAGAACTACAATAAAGCAATAAAGACGCAAAATGAACGAATACTTGTACAAAGTGACAAGATGGAGGCCGGAAAAAAGATCCTTTGTTTGTCGTGTGTGTGTTTTCATTTTTGTTGTTTTCATTCTTATTTTGATGATTTTGCCCCCTAAAGATAGCGTGTGGCTCCTTCCTTCGTGTTGGAAAATGTTTTCTTGATATTTTTTTCGATGACACACTTTGTTTTGTTTCGTTCGCTTTCAGCCGCTAAAAAGCGATTTCGTGTGTGTGTGTGTGTGTGTGAGAAGTTATAGTGTGGTTAAGCTAGTTTTTGCAGTTTGCGTTGCAATGTTCACATTGTGGCGCTCTTTGTTGTGTTGTTTGATATGTCATGTGTCCGTGCTTCTATTTTTGCAGAGGTCAGAAAAAAGACATTCGAGGCCCAGAAAAAGATCCATCGGGGTCCGAAAAAAGACACGGGGTCAGTTACGAGATGTTTTGGGGCCGAGAAAAAGACGGCTTAAATCGCAGAGTGGAGGTCGAAAAAACATCGTAATCTTTTTCTAGACTCTAGACCTCGTCGCGGGGCTGAAGAAAAGATGGAGGTCGGAAAAAAGACATGCCGGGGTCGAAATCAAGATGGATCAAGCGGGTCTGAAAAAAGACATTTCGGGTCGAAAAAAAGAGCAGCCCGAAATGAAACAGAAGCTGCGACGTACAAACAAAGCCGGCAAGGTCGTTCAGCATGAATTGAGTGCACGCGAGCCTACGGATCACCGGCCCTGCTCCCCGTAACTTCTGGGTCGCGCAATGGCCAACATGGAAATTGGCCCTGCTGCCCGTGAACGTGGGAAGCGCAATGGCCTGCAGATCACCTGCCCTGCTCCCCGTAAAGTCCGGGTCGCGCATTGGCCCTGCTGCCCGCAAAGATGATGGCGCAATGGCGTGCCCACAGGCACCGACACTTGCCCATTGTGTCGCCCATGTCACCACCGGCCCTGCTCTTCGAAAAGTCTGGGTGGCGCCGCCCGTAAGCATGCGTGCGGCGAACATTTGAAACCGACGAAGCGGGATGTGCCACAGATTCCACAATGGAGCGAGTGCAGGATGCACAGGGCAGCCGCCAAGCAACAAGGTACGCCGCAAGGTTGCATGACCAACTTGCAGCATTTGTCTGTGGATCCTGTACCTGTAGGTCAACCTGTTACACAATCTCGTGACGGATGTCGCACCGCTTGCCTCGCCACATTGGAAAATCATGGGGTTGCATGGCCACCCGGACGCATTGACAGACAACACCCTTGTGAACTAGCAGTTGCGCGTCAGCGTGCTACAAGTGAATCGCCGCAACTACAAGCAATTGCCGATGCCGGCTCTTCGAGAGCCTCCGGTGTGTATGGTCAAACACATCCTTTTTTTGAATCTTGGACAGCAAGATCACAGAGTAATCGCACACCATCAGACGGTTTAGACGCAGTTTCACAACTTGATCCGACTCTATAAGCTCACGGAACTCTGATGAAGATTGTGCGAATGGAGCCGATGGCAGATCGAAGAGCCAAATCGACTCGCAAGTGTGGATATGTACTACCCTGCAGCGGCCCGATAGAACAGTATTTTTTGGACACGCCAGATCTCCTAAAGGCGCGCACAGGAATGGCAGAGTACTTAACGGCCTGACAAGCAGGCGAGCGTGAGAAGCTTGACGAGCTGAAAACCCCATCTTTGCGCCGCACGCTGCTTCCACACGGCAGAACGAGGGCTTCAGGAGCAAGTTGAGCCCGCGGAAAGCCCCTGGCCCAAAAGAGCAGGCATACCGCGGGCATGGGTGGCCAGTCCGGCATATCCAACCGCTTGGTCGGCGTCTTGCGGCGGGTCAGTCGGAGTTGCTGGACTCCCAGCGAAGCAGAGTCGAGTTCAAGAACGGCGAGCGAAGCCGCGTGATAGGGAGTTCAGCAAGCTGCTCCAGAGCAAAGTGGAGCCGGCACGCCAGTCCGGGCGAACGGCGTGGGGCTGCATGGCCACGGCTTGCCTGATAGGCCTGAGCGCCAAAGAAAGCAGTGCCCTCGAAGAGTGCAAGCGCGCCACGACGTAGAAGCCCACGCAAGGAGAGCCACGAAGTCGTCTCTTCCCAGACTCGCCTGAAAGTGCGCTGCGCCAGGGAGCCAGAGACAAGGCCACCTCAGCTGCCCGTCGTTGAAGAGGGTCTGTCATGGACAGCAGGCGCCCGGCAGCGTTCGATGGGGGAGCACCCAATATCGATTGTAGGTAGGTAATGCCCAGATCCTGGAGGACCTGCACCATCATCTCCGAGCGTGCTAACATCCATGACACGCATGCCGCAAAGCCGAATGGCCAGGGCTGGATTCACTCATGCATTCCATGAAAAAAAGAAGTCTGCACAATGCGTTTGCAGAGAGTGGTCTCTTCGCAACCTATCAAGGTTTTCGCACAAAGTGCCGTTACATCAGCAAGAGCCCGTCCCAAGAGCAAATTCCCGAGCCCAGCTTCCCACAAGAGTGGGTCTCGCAAGGGCAAACACGCTTGGGGCTCGCAACGCGCCCTACAAGCAAGCGCTGCGTCTGCATACATGTTGTCAGGGTGGAGAAAGCCCATGGACGAGTGTGCAACTCCGAGCCCAGCTTCCCTCGCGTGGTATCGCAAGGGCCAAGGATAAAGAACCTCTCCAGAGAGGGAAATGGGCCCGAATACTGCAAAATATCCACGCCCTGGTGGGCCTCGCAAGGGCAAGCGGTTATCGGAGCGAGAAGATTCCATGCAGTGTGGGACGCAAACCGGCAGCGGAGGTCGCAGCAAGCGGGAGATCGCCAACGGCTTCATGGAGAAAATAAGGCACTCCCTCAGCCCAGGCCATCCCACCGCCCAAGGCTGCATGTCAATTAGTGCAGACTGGATGGCCACTTCGTGGAAGAAGTCGAGCCCGCGTAGAGCCCAAGCAGCAACGCGAAGCGGGACGCCGCAGCACCACTAAGCCGCAAGATCGATTTCAACAATGGCGCGCACTTGAAAGCCAAGCCGCACGATCAATTGGAAATCGGTCGCAAATCTGAAGCCGTAGAGAGTGCACTGCGCCAAGCATG